ATATCCCTTTACATATAAAAAAGAATATCTTTTATATGGAATATACGAATATACTTAGTAGAACCAGTGAACAAGAGACAAAACAGAAATATATAAACAGTCTAAAAAAGAAATTTAGTTTGAATGGATATCCTACAAGATTAATCAACAATTGGCAAAAAAACATAGATAATAAAGTTCCTTTTCCTTCCAAAAAAGATGCAGAAAAGAAAATTAAATACTTAAGCTTTCCATATATAAAACATGTATATGAAAAAATTAATAAAGAACTTAGGAAAAATAACATACAGCTCGCACCAAATTATAAAAATTTAATATCTAGATTAAATAAGAAACAATGTTCAACAAATAACATAGAGGATAAAAATGAAATTAAAAATGTTGTCTATAAAATACCCTGTACTTGTAAGAATAACAGTTTTTACATAGGTGAAACAAAAAGAACATTAAAAACACGTGTTAAAGAACACATATCCGATTTAAAATATAGTCGTCTGAACTCCGCTTTTTATGATCATTGTGTAATCAATAATTGTAATATAAACCAATCAAATATACAAATTTTACATAAAGAAAAACGGATTTATGACAGAAAATTTAAAGAAAGTGTGGAAATATTACGAAACAAAAATCAAGGCTGTATAAATAAAAACTTAAGTGTTAAAATTCATGAAAATTGGTTAAAAATATTATAATAAAATGTACTAGATTTGTGTAATTTAGAATAATAGAATGGTAAAAACGAATTATTTAATGAAACAATGTTCTGTATTAACGTCATATGTAAATTAGATAAAACGAAAATATGCAGATTAAAATTTAAAGGAAAATAATGATTTACTGTATAAAAAAATTAAAAAATTTTTTTGTAATTTCCTCAAGGATTTTCAAATGTTTGTCGATTAATCTGTTAACTAGTACAACTTACGGCATATAGTGCTATATGCAAATTGTCGGATCAGTCGACGAGGTGGCAAAAATGTACTTTTGAAATTTGTAAGTTTTAGTTTTTTTAAAATCTACAGAGTTTATCTTGTTTATGTAATAAAACGTAAAAAAGGTTTTGTTTTTAACCTGTAAAGTAAAAATTGTGATAATAATCGATAGTGGAAATGTAAAAAACCTAAGTGTAGTCTGATTTCTACTGTGTGTGCAGTGTCCATGCTGAAGTGAGGTATGGTTTACAAAGGAATTTATGTGAGTTTTTTGGTTTTTATTTGTGTCCTGTTAAATATTTTTATATATATTTAGTTAGCTGAAGAGGGGCTGATGCCCGAAACGTTGATGTATGGGAAAAACGTTCTAACTAAATAAAAGATTCAACTAGCCCAGTGTTGAGAAAAACGTCACTTCATTGTGCCAGTACACAATAATATATATATATATGATAACAAAGTGTAGTGTCTCAAGTATTGGATTGGCTTCCGGGAACTATTAAACTCTGTAGAGGGCTCAGTCAGGTTATGGAGTTGGCTCAACTACACGGTCCGTCCGGTCTCTGCATTCACCCGTCAATTAGGTGTCTACCAGAGGAGTTCACTCTCTCTATGCTCAGCGGGCTGCTCGAGTGCCAGAGGCTACCGTGTTAACAATCTCTTGCCTTTCTCTCCTCACTCGTTCGCTCCGCTATTTAAGGTTTTCTTTGGACGGAAACTTCTGACCAATCACAGCCGTTCTTTCGTGAACAGCTCACACTTAGGTCCGCTGTTATTCGACGAGAGTAGAGCTTACATTAACGTCAGCCACTTGTTTACGTTTGGTAGTAGTTTTTTTATATAGCAAGCGGCCTATCGTCTGACCGCAGGTAAGTACAATCGACAAGGTCGCGTTTCTTCTGTTCCCTCTCTGCTGATTGGCCAATACTTTACATCTCCCACAAGGTTCAAACTGCGCTTTAACAAAAGCCTGTTTGACCTAAACACACACAACAAACACATACAATAATTATCATTATACAAATTAGTTTCATACAATACATTTCCTCCTTTTTCTAATACAAGGAGTATATCATTATAGTTATTATCGTACACTCACAAATCCTTTTCAATTATATTGATACGTACTGTACAGTACTTAACATCTAGCAGACACATATTTACAGTATGAATACAATCCTTGGCAAATTGTCCCATTACACTATATTCCGAATCGCCTCGTAGATATCACTTATATTTATTCTGATAGGACTATACAATAATATTAACGCGCCCCGCGTGTCTCATCTGGAGGTTCTTGACCGTTTCTGACTTCCAATCTGGACACAGCGTCGGCATTAGTGTGTTTTTCCTTTTTTCTGTGCCTGATCTCGACATTGTATTTCTGTAACGCCAATGCCCAACGTACCAATTTCGTACTACGAAGTGTACGATCATCTTGCCGTAAAGGAGCAAACACCTGACGACTAATCACACGCTTTGCAATATTTTCGTATATTGCCTCTTTTATTCACCGTGGAGTTTGGATTATCTCCTTTGTAAACCTCTGTAGCTATGACATTCAAGACCGGTTTTTGCCGTTCATTCGTTTCCGTCCGCTTAGCTATCTTTAAAGCGCAATAATCGACTGCCGAAAGTAACGCATCCGTAGCTCGGCTAAGTTCATCCATCGGTAAAAGCGCAGGTTATCAACACTGAAGTATAATAATTTTTCTTTCTGTCAAGCCGCCCTTTTAAGCTTACAGGTATAATCGCTAACGTTGCGGATACCCGCTGTCCGAATGCGCCGATTACCTTAATCTCTTTCGCTGTACGGGACATGTAATCTGGTATTAAAGACTTCCTAATTACGGTTATTTTTACTACAGTGTCTACTATTGCAGAGAATTTTTTACCTCGACAAGTAAGAAGAAGATTTTTGTATATGCTAGCCGGTACGTTTCCACGAATCGTATCTTTGTCGATTCTTACCCTAGCTATTAACTGGCTGTCACACTTTACCGTTTCGTCTACTGTTGTAAGAACTCGCGCTGCTTTGGACCTCAGCATTTCATCCTTAATAGGTCTCCGAAAATAATCACGTTTGAAATGCCCCGTTAGACCACAAGTGAAGCGTATGATTTTTTTATTCCCTCACTTCAAACTCTGGATTCTTCGCTGTCAGATTCCCAGTTATTTTGGCTGTCCTCGTTTCCGCATACTGGTCATGGTAGGGTATCCTTTTATCTCTTTTGGATTTATACCTAAAATCCCCATTTCCTACAGCTTCCGTATGCTTCTCGGCATACCTAACTATTTTTTTTCGGCGAGAACCAATTATTACCCACTTGTAACGAAACGTAACGCCTAGTGTCGGCATCTAGCTTAATATTAAGCTGATCAGAAACTAGCTTTGTTAATTTTTCGAAGGAATCTAAGCCTCTGCTTTTCAAATAATACCAATATACATCCTCCATCCAAGCTGCAAATTGAAGCCACGTTTCTCAACTTCCCTTTTCAGAGGAAGTAAATTCCTTAAGATACTCCGCAGCAGACAAGTTTAATTCGTCTAGCACGAATTGTTTTAAAGTTTCGTTTGCCGCGAGTCTACTCGCTGTCACGCATTTCTCGCATAGTACCGTTAAACTAACTGTCCCCGAAGCTCTTCCGGTACGTTGTATGTTTGTAATACAACCTCCGCAGCACGGAAGCACGACGGTACTTCCGCTTCCTTGTCTGTCATTTCGGGTAAAGCCCACCTGTTTTCCTGACTAGATTATCCAAATTACCTCCTAGCTCAGAGTTATTACTATTCCTAGATTCGCTTCGTAACCGATCTCTCTCTAACTCTATTTCGGCTAGCCTAATTTGTAAGCGCTACTCTATCTCGTCTAATTCGTTACCTCTATCTCGTCCCGGTTATCAATAACCTCGACCTCAAAATCCAAATTTTCCCATTCTAACTCGGTATCAATTACACGAGATTGGCTAGGATCAGCTTGACATCCGTGATCCTCGGAACACGATATTCCCTTTTCTGACCCTTGAGTCCTTTCGCGTCCCGGCATTCTAAATATGAATAATTAAGAACAACTTACTGTTCCGCTTTAATTTCCCGCTGCTCTTTTTTCGTAAGTGTCTCGTGCTGCTTTTCTTTCTTCTCAAGTCCTCAATTATCTTAAGTATTACAAATGGTCAAAGTTTCATTCATAAACGAAATCGTTTTTATGCCTTTTATTTAACTGGATTGAGACAGAAACACTCTTTTCTGTCACAAAACACAATTGATTAACACCGTTAAAATAAGTCTTAGAGAAATAAAAGAAATAATATTATATTTACAATATCAATTTGTTTAAACGAACAATTTCCGTGTAATAAATGTGCAAACCAAACTTTTCGTTTGTAAAAAATTCATTTAAAGTTAATCTGATTTTTTTCTTTCTCTGCAACGGGAATAAACGAGGAAATTAAAATTTGTACACGTAATATTTCTGTTCGAAATAATGAATCGATATCACTGACGAAATAGCTTATCGTGTTTTCAATCAGTCGCAAGCAAGTCGTAACAGTATCAAATTCGCAAGTACACGGTTTCGCTATTGCACATTTTTCGTCGACTGTTTTTGCAGCTTTTCGTGTCGAATGAATTAGAAGCTTCTTCGGACGAGATGAGGTTTGTTATCGTTTTTCAATTACTATTTTTAAAGGTAAATTCTTGTCAAGAGTTTTGGCAACATTGGGGGACCTTTTCTTGTCCGCCATGGGTAGAGAGATGCTACGAATCGAAGAACTTTTCTTCCGTTGAAATATTCGATCGATCCTTACGGCTCAATTGTGGCAACCGAACGATTGACTCTCATATGATGCGATGCTTGAATGTTAAAAATGTACAGAACATAAAACTTGCGGATTGTTATTTGTCGGGGATTGACTTTGGAATTTTCACTTTCGGATATGGAATCGAACACGTCGAGATAACATACAAAACATACCAGGATAACAGAAACTTCGAGAGCGCTCTCTTTAATAACATGTCCTCTCTGCGATCTGTCGAAATACGAGGCGTGAAGACGTCGCAACTTCTAAATGTAACGTTTCGCAACCTTCCATCTCTAAGTTTATTGAAAATCAAAAACTATAATTTCACTTTATTTCCCAACAAACCGTTCCGAGAGTTAATTAATCTTTCCGAATTATACCTCATGCATGGCGAGTTAAAAGTTTTACCTGGAGATTTGTTTTATAATCTTCATAATTTGACAAAACTTGACTTAAGTGACAATAAACTTGAATCGATTCATCCACTTGTCTTTAACAATCTCACCAAACTCGAATATTTGGATTTAGGATTTAATGACATAAAGGATTTGCCAGTTGACATGTTGAAAGGTCTTTCTAATTTAAGGGCATTTTCTATTAGTGGAAACAAAAAATTAGCAGTAATTCCATTCGGATTCTTTAAGAAACTGCACAACTTGAATATATTTTATGCGTGTTGTTGTTCCTTTTCTTCACTCGAAGAAGATATATTTTCTGACCTAATTAATTTGATAGACGTCGACTTAGGTGTCAACCAAATTGAACATCTCCCGAGAAATCTTCTGAGAAATAACAAACGATTGACAGAATTCTCCTGTTGGGGTAATGAAATATCGACACTTCCGACAGGAATTTTTCACGGACTTTCTGAACTGCGTTGGTTAAGTTTGCGAGAAAACCGTTTAGAAAATCTTCCCGAAGATGTTTTTCAGAGTTTGTCGTCATTGGAGACTCTGATTTTATCAGAAAATCGCTTGACATTTTTACCCGAAAACATCTTCCTCCCGTTGACTAATTTAACGCGTCTCGATCTATCTGACAACAGCTTAAGTAAAATTATTAGTGAGCATCCTTTCGGAAGCAGCAAGCATCTAACTTATGTCCATTTGATTAATGCAGGTTTGACACAATGGCCGGTGATAAATTGGACAGAATACAACTTAACTAGAGTCGATTTTTCAAATAATCATTTCGAAACCGTCAAATTGCCAATTTACACACCAAATCGCATGAAAATTAATTTGTCTAATTGTAAAATCAGAACAATTTACATCGATGACAGGAAATATGGATTTCAAATGCCTAGTTATGATTTAAGTAATAATGAAATTACTTGTAACTACGAACTGCAGCAATTCATTTCCGTCTTTAAGTCAAATATGGAAGTGGCAAGGAAAATGTTTCCAAATATAGAGAAGACGAAATGTTTCGGAGAAGAACGAAATTTGCTGGATAATACATCTTTCGTAATCATAGAAAATTATTGTCCGATGAATTGCGAATGTTCTGTACAAGATAATCTCGTGATGGTGAATTGTTCCGGAAAAGGAATCGACAGAATTCCCGAAGTTCTTGTTTCGAATGCGACGGTTGTCGATTTCAGTAATAATTACATAAACGACTTCTCAGAAGTCGATTGCGTGACGTGGAGAAACGTCAGCCATCTGCATCTGAGTAATAATTCGATAAGTAACATTTCGGATTATGTTCTTTCGACAAACCTCAAATATCTCTGGTTGGACGGAAACCGGTTAACCGAATTACCTTCCGGATTAATGCACCTGATCGACGTTTCTCCGGAATTTAAGATTTACTTATCAAGAAACAATTTGAGTTGCAATTCGCATTCTCTGTTTACTAAAGACTGGTTGCTTAAAAACAGGAAGAAGATTGTAGATTTTTCCGATGTTTTCTGCACCAGAAATTCGTCTTGTGTGTCTTTCACCGAAATTGTTTGTAATCATCGATGTAAACAAATTCTAGAAGATAATTTGGCGTCGTCAGTAAATGTTTCGTGTACAAAATGCGTGTGTTCGGACGAAGTCAGTTCTGTTTCTGGATGGAAACTCGCAGTTGCTGTTCTTACTTTGCCAATGTTATTAGGTGTGTTTATTGTTGTTTGCTTTGTTTATTGTCGCAGGAAAGAAAATTTCGAGAAAGTGCCAAAGCCTGATAATGAGGAATTGATTTATTACAATGGTTACACTTGACGAATTCTGTATTTACGAAAATTCAAATATATCTTTTATCAATTTAATCAGGACTTTCCAAAAAATTGTTATAATATTGCATTTTTTTCTATAGAATTTAATTTTGTATATTTCAAACATGCTGCAATACATGTTACTTTTATATGCATTTGTATTGAATTTTTATTGAGTATTATATAATGTGTAATAATTAGATAATAAAGCTGTAATTCAATCACTAAGTCAATACTGAAATTCAACAATTAAACAATAATTTATATACATGAAGTAGACAAATAGAAGTAACAATTCATAATTCAGAAAAATTCTTATTAAAATTTGTATTCTCTGTAACACATCGTTGACAGTTCGATAAAATTTAATATTTATCAATGGAGAATCTCCGGCAATTTGTTTCCAGATTTCCTGCTTTTAATTTGCTATTGTTATTATCTATTCCTCTGTAATTCAAATTATTTATAAGGTGTTCGTATTATTTTATACTTTAAACAAATAAAGCGATGGAGACTGTATAAACTTTTCACTACAATATAAATATATTTAACAGTGCAAAATATTTTTATAGGTAATTTTAGTAAATTTTCTAGTTAATTACATCGAAATATTTGATTATTTGGTGTTTATTATACAATTTTGGGATGTTCTGTTAGTTTTTCATTTTACAAGTAGAGTTTCTAGTTTACATTTATCCGCCTAAAATTATTTGAGATTTCCTTTGAAAAGCAAATACAAAACGTTTGTCAGAAATTCAATGAAATAAAAGCTTTCAAATAAACTATTATAGGTTAGTGGATGTTATACTCTGTTGCAATGAAGAAAATATTTTCTTTCTATTGTCTACACTTTAGAAAATGACGTCACGAGGGCTACAGAGAGATTCTTTTCGTCACTATGACCGGAATTAACCCCTTTGTGCGCGATCTTTAGCGTGTCCACATATCCATTGATACAGAAATTCTCTTTCCGAATATTTTGCATTTCTCGCCCATTCAAGGTGCCGTGAGCTCCGGATCGCCATATTTTACCTCTGTTATAATAATAGGGAAAATAATGAATAAACAATAAGACAATAATAAGTGTAAGGACTCCGCAAAAATATCCCAAATCAGGCCCCGGATTGTCTAGGATTTCGGCCGACAACCGGTGCTAGCCAGGTACAGTACTTACTAGTGAGGAGTAACTACACAGTTGGGTGTTCACTAGGTTTAATGTCTTCCCAGACATTGGCGAAATAATAAAATAAAAATGAAATTGTTAGGGGTACGTCCAGAAAAATCTAAACCACCGAACCGCTTGGTTACAGAAAGAGGATTAGCAACACAGAACTAATTTTTATTTTTGTGTGTTTCTGCTTTCTGAGTGATAACAAAACCTTCTTTCTACATCCGTCGTGTAGGAAATGTTTTTGATTTGTTCAAATTAAACTAATTAAATATGTTACGTTTGTGTCAAATTAGTTCGATGACGGAGATTGAAAAGCACGCGATCCATTTCACACCATACCGAAACTGATTACTGTATAATCCATTTTATCCACCTTGCAGTGAAATTGTTCGTTTCACGACAGTTCAAAATTTTTACAATTATTTAACTTCACAAAAAAAGGCCAACCATTAAATGACAATTGCTGTGTGAACTAAAAAGTTATGAAAATACTAAGTAAAGGAATATGTAGCCTGGTCTTTTATTTATATTTTCAATTTAAAATATTAACCTGTAAAAATCGTGTCAGAGTCGCAATATCTTTACTGAATGATTTTGAAAGACTTTAAAAATTTCTATTCTAATACTTTATTATGAATTGCAGATAAACTTAAGACCTATAAATTCTCACAGTCGTTCGTCCGTCTGTTATTTGTCTGTCTTGTAATCTCGAGAAATGAGTGAGAAAGCCAAAAGACGATAGACATGAAGAATTTAGTGGCAGTTGGCCCCGATATTGGAAGGACCGATGCAAACCGGAAGTCACGTTACTTTAATTCAAGTATCTTCTCCTCGAAATGAGTTAAATACGTGGCGACTGTGTTGCTATCAGGAATATATGATGTACAGTATAGTAAGGACCATCTGACTTCGAGGCCAAGCCGCTAGTAATTTGAGGTGGAAAGCATTACTTCTAGCGTGCTGTTACCTCTGCGCTCGAGGTCTGCCGTATTGCGGCCCTCGATTATAACCAGGACATTGTCAGCATAAGCTATAAGTCTGTTTTGTCAGAAAAACTCTTGCAGGAAAGAATTGAAGGTGACGTTTCACAGTAGAGGTACACAGACGAAAAAACCCCGTGGACCGCCTCTGGTAATCTTTTTGCAAGTGTGGTGTTGACCATTTTGTAATATTGCATTCCTGTTCCTCACGCAGTCTTTCATTGCGTTGTATAGGTTCGAGGGACATTGGAAGTTCCTTAGCTGATTTAAGATGAAAGGCCACCAGGCGCTATCGAAAGTCGCAGTATAAAAGGCATCCTCAGAGAACGTTTGAGGTCCGAGTCCAAATTGATTGTCATGAAGAAGGTAGTTATGCTGTAGGAACGAGGATTAACAATTATTAATTAAAAGTTCTAAGATCTTGCCGAAAACAGGCAAGAGGGAAATGGGGCGAAATTCTTTGAAATTGCCAGGTTTAAGTACCTTCAGTAGGAATAGAATGAGCAGGCTGTCTTTCGACTTAGCCCGGGAAGTTAGAAAAGGTGAGGATAAAGGGTGAAAGTTGGGAAGAAGTAGGTTAGAGAGGAAGAGGAAAAAGGCGGGGGAGGGGGTGGAAGAGGCAGAGGGTGAAAGGAAGGGTTTGGGATTTCCTGGACGGACGTAACTTTTTTATTGAAAATAAAGGAACATTTACATATAAACAAGGTGCCAATTTGGCTTGGAAGAGTACAGTACTAAGTATAATTATACAATAAAGACATTTCAAGTGGGGTATTACAAAAAAGTTGGGTAGTATACAGAGGTGCCTTGTGCAAGCGGTGTTGATGCTGTAAAGTCTGTCAGATGGTCCTTATTGGCGGGTAGTTGACGAACACGGTGAGTTGTGGTTGCTGGAAGCTGGAAGAGGTTACTGCTGCTGGACAAGTTGCGGAAGATGATAGCTGGATGCTAGAAGGAAATTGCGAACTAGTGATTAGGCCCGCAGACTATGGCAGACAGAGGTGGAGCCCAACCGATGGGGGGGATGGGTGGCCAGCCTAAGATGGACCGGTGGCAGGCAGGGGAGTGCCTGTAGGTGGGCAACCCTGCGAGGAACCACGGAAGATGGTGCAGGAGTTTATAAAATTGTTGAACACGGTGAAGGTTTCTTTAGTCTCACATAGAAAGTCTGCTGGAGGTGGCCATGGCTGGCCGTTGAGGGTGCAGTGCATCCATAGAGGACCACGCTGGAGGTCAAAGTCCGGGCAGTCAAAGACATAGTGGAAAACATCCCCAATACTAGTGTTGTCACAATGGCAGTAAGGAGATGGAAGTTTTTTGAATCTGTGTAGATATGCCGGAAGGTTCCCATGCC